GAGCTCCTTCTCAAAGCTCGGTGCTTTGATGGGGTTTGTTTGTCTCCCACAGCAAGTGGCAGCGACTGATGGCTTCGCCCTGGTGGCATCGGGGAGGAGGCAGCTGAACAACTCAGCCCACGCTGGAAACATCTGGGGGCAGGCATGACACTCATGAAAGGGGCATGGCTGGCTGGCTCTGGTAATCTGTCACCAAGGGCAGAGGTGACAAAGCCCCACAGCAGGCAGAGCTGGGATGAGTAGCACCAGGACCATCGGGGTGTCCCAGCAACTCTGGGAGCCAAAAGCAGAGAATTCACACCGTTAYAGGAACAAGGACACCACGTGCATGACCCGATGCTGCTCAGAGGGGACAGCAGCCCCACACAGGCAGAGGTGTCCCTGCCAGGGACTGGTGTCAGAGGCAGACTGGGGGCTGCTGATGGCTGATCTCACGCCACGGGCCAGGCTCTGTGCCTGTCAGCACTTGCCATCCTTGGGAAAGGTTTTTCTCCTCACTTCAGATTTCTTCTTCCCATCAGAGAGGCCCACAAACCTGCGTCAAACTGAAACCACCAAAAAAACCCAGCAAAATCCCAGCAAAATCCCTCGAATCCAACAGCTGGMACCTCGAGAAAACCTCAGTGCACCAAGAACCACCCTGGGACAACCACAGCCAGACCCAGGCGCTGCCCTGGCACCAGTGGGATTCCTCCAGACACTGAGCATGTAGCAGGACCAGCACTGGTGGGCAGGACACATCAGTGTCCGACCATCCCCATGGGCACGAGTCCAGTGTGGCTCCTGCACAACAAACACCATGGGGAGCCCATTCCCTGCCAGCACTGGTGCTGCCCCCACCATAAACCCCCAGACAGGATTAGGGATGCCGGGCAGAGCTTTAATTACTCCTGGCTSCCTGGGGCCAAGCAGCCGAATTAACTGGCTTTGGGGCTGGCACAGCAGGGAGTTGCCAGCTCTGATGTCTCAGGATCYTGGGGCTTCCCCTTGGCTTGGTGGGGTAATCCCAGGGCAGGCACAGAGCCACTGACCACCTGCAGCATCCTGGTTTGGGCACACTCTGGCCCTTGCCTGGGCAGAGATGTGCTGCTGCCCCGTGCCAGGGCACTCCAGAAAGGGATTTTCCCTTCGTGCTGATAACGACCAGCCCCAAGTCGCTGTAATGCCACGCTGAGGGCACAGCCCCGGGGTCCCACAGGTCTTGTGCCARCCCTCTGCACCGAGGCCAAATCCAGCACAGCCCCAGGCTCGGTGCTAATCCCCGCTCAGACCTGCGCCAGCCCAGGAGGGACAGGCTGGAAGGACCTGAGGATTAAGCTCATTTCAGCATCGAATTAGTCCCGATTGGGGTCTGGAGACACAATTTCATTTTCTCTGCCATGCTCCAGTGAGCGCACACAATGGCACTAATCCAGCYACAGCCAGACTGGATTTGCTGGGCAGGACCCAGGTGGTCAGCACGGGCACCAACTGCACTGCTCCGGCCACATCCATCCCCTCAGATGGACACTGTGCTCCAGCTCCGCTTGGGGCTGAGGGGATGGTGCAGGAGCCTCCTCACCCCTGGCATGGCACATGGTTTTGTTTCTGGTGAGCAGGGAGAGCCAGAGGGACACCAGAGCAGCTCCTGCATCCCCTCACCACACTGCCAGAGTTCATCCCCAGCTCTGCACACAGAGATGCTCTCGCACCAGAGGATGGAGAGAGGTAAAGCCTTGCCTTTGGAAGARGGGATACACAGACATCCAGGGATGCTGCCAGGAGCGGGGACTAGTCATACCAAGAATAAAACAACACAAACACCACTGGTTTGTGCAACAAAATTCTCAGTCAAATCCAGAGAGGACTGAAACAGAGCGTGCGTCCACATGCACACAAACATGTCCAGGTGAGTTTTGGCTTTCCTAGCTCCAGGGTGGGCTTCACAGCCCCTGAAGCAGCAGMAGAGCCTCCCCCCTGCCCCAGWGCTGCACYGTAAGCACCACTGCAGCATCTCCACGAGTGGAGCCAGAGAAGCTGCACCCCTGGGCCCACAGCCCAACAGCACCAGGGTCGGGTATTCACAGCAGGGAGGACAAAGATCATTTTACAGCAGACCCAGCTGGTGCGAGGACTCAGAACTGCCAGCAAGGGCATCCTCTTCCTCTGCTAAAGGCTTTGCAGGGCCACTGAGTGACAGGGATGACAGGCCAGACAGAAGGAGCACCCAGCACGTGGTGGGCAGGGCTGGGTCCAYGCTGCTCTGGCTCTTTGAGGCCATGGCACCCGAGCACCAGCCTTTTCCCCAGTTCCCTCCYCATCTCCCACAGAGCCGTGCTATAAACCAGCACTTGGAGCTCGTAACACAAAGTTACATTGAAAATGGAGATTGCAAAACTCACCCGTGACTGTTTGAACCGGGAATGGGTTGTGACTCTGCTGTGGTTCGGCTACGCTGCTGTGGCCACCCCAGCCCGGCAGCACATCGCTGMTGGTACAGCGGGGAGCAGGAGCTGGCAATCCGGCAAGCACTGGGCACGGAGCGCCTGCGAGAAGCCCGTGTTCCTGGCCCCTCTGGTGCAGCCAGATGGGTGGATTCTGCTTTATCAGCAAGTCAGCTCAGCCCTATCGGCCAGGAAGCCGCGTTCACAGTGTGCCTCCCCCTCGACGTTTCCCAACGCGGCGGGAGCAGCGGCGCACAGCAGCCTACCTTTTATCAGCCAGCAGATGTTGCTAGAACTGTTGCTGCATGTGAAATTCAGGCATGCCCAGCGCTGCCGCTTGGATCCCTGCACCAGCCACGCGGTGCCAGGGTAAACACCCCCGCCCCCTTCCTCCCGGGATCAAAACACTTGGGGGTTGCAAAATAGACACCCCATGAAAGGAAAGGCATGCCACAGAAACATTACAGCTGTCGAGGCTACTTCTCCCGGAGCATGCCGGAGCCCCAAAGCCAGCACAGCCCTCCCAGGCTGGAGCCGCCTGCATGGCTGCAGGGCTGAGTCCTGACCTGTCCTGGCACCGTGGGGACCCTGACCGTGCCCTGGCTTCCCTGCAGAGGCTGCTCCGAGGGCAGGAGTTGTCACAGCCAGGCAGGCAGGGGTATCCAGGGGATGCCGATGGCAGGGAGGTCCTTCTCGCCCCGCCTTTCATCTCACTGTGCCTGGGTTCCCACCAGCTCCCCAGGGCTGCCGTGAAGTCTGCTGAGCACAGCCCAGCTCACAGTCATTCCTTGCAAACTAGAAAGTCATTTCCCAGCTGACGGGGCCGCTTCGCTGTACTCAGCCCAACACAGTCACCACTTGCCGCCCACGGCGTAGAGGAGTGCAGGGAGCAGGGATTTTTTGCAAGCAGAGTATCTGAGTTTTGCTATCACTCGAGAGAGAGCTGGGAAATCCCATGGCGAAGCCTTCACAGTCACTCTGGAGTCAGCACTTCCCCTGCAGCGAGAGGGGAAGGTCCCTCCAGAAGCTCTGTGTGCCACCTGTCTGGTGACAGCATCCCTGTGCATCCTAATCCTGCCCCAAAGCTTTGGATTTGGATCACCTCACAAGGCAGGTGAGGTGRCTCCAGTGACAACTGTAGGGGCCCAACACCCCTGAGGGAGGACACTGTCCAAGTGCCACAAAATGCAGAGTAGGTGACAGCCACCTGTCACACGTGTTCCCAGCCCARCTCTGCTGTGCCCCTGGGCACGGGCTGTTGGCACCTCTCAGCCTTCACCGGAGCTCCTCCTCCTCCTCGTGCTGCACCCACAGCCCAGCCCAGCCCACTCCAACCCAGGAACCAGCAGGTCCCCAGGAGAGATGTTTTTTTTTCCTGGTAAAACCCAGGGAGATGGTTTCCATCCTCACATCCAGCACCTTGGAACCACATCAGGTCAGGCTGCGATCCTGATGGTTTTGGGAGCACAAGGACCTGGGCCAGGAGTCATGACCAGGAGGGGAAAGCTCTCACCGTGAAGTGAGTTCCTGGTGCCCACAGCAGTGGTCAGGATCTGCAGAGCACCTCACGGTGCCCGCACTAAGTGCCCCCCATGCATGCCACTGCTGGGGCTCACACTGCTCTGGGCACAGGCACGGGCTCTGCAGGGCTTTGGGCTGGCCACAGGCAGCCAGCGCAGTGAGCCAGCCCTCAACCAGGAATCTGCTCTAACCAAGCGACCCGCACTACAGGACAGCATGTGCCATGCCCTTGCTGTGCTGYTCTGAGCCCAGCCCCATCTCCCCTCCACAACGCGCCCCAGACACCGCTGCTGGTCACCRCCTGTCCCCAGCCCTGTGCCACGGGGTGCCCAGCACGGCGCACAGACGCTCGCACAAGCCGACAGCCCCGGCCCGGCGGCACGGAGGTGCCATCGGTGGTGTCACGGCGACAGCAGCCCAGGGCGCGCTCAGCAGTGCCGGTGCGAGCCGAGCACTGGAGCCCCGGAGCCGCTGGGCAGGAASTGCCCGGAGCCCGCCTGGCACGGGCCCGGGGCTGGGCGGGCACGGAGCCCTGACAGCTCCGTATCCCGCTGGACAGGTGGCCGCGGCTCCCGCGGGCTCCCAGTCACCGGCCGCGCCCGAGCTGGGTGAAAGGCCACCGGGCGCTGCGGTCCCCGCCGTGTCGCCGCTGCCGCCGGGGACCGATCCCACCCGCCCGGCGGCGCGGAGCCGCATGTCCCACCGACAGCAACGGGGCTCCCCGGCACTGCCGCCACCCCGGTCCGGTGTGCTGCCTGCGGCGGGACTGCCCCGTCACCGGACGGGACTCCCCGCGCTGTCCCGGATCCTCCCCTCGGCCCGGGAGCGGGACTCGGAGCCGCCCTCCGGGGCCGCCGCTCCGGCGGGGCCCGGGTGTGAAAAYCGGCCCCGCTCCGCCGGGCGAGGAGCGCCCCCGCCCCGGGATGCGCCGCGGCAGCACCACGGGCCCGGGACGTGCCCGCCGCCCCCTCGGAGCGGCCCCACTCGTCGCCTCCGCCCGCCCAGCGGCCCGCGGGCCCAGCCGAGCCCCGCTGAGCCCCGCGCCCGGCCCAGCTGCGCCCGCCCGAGGTTACGAAACACGCACGGCGCGGACCGGACCGGACCGGACCGCCCTGAGCCCCGAGCCCCGGCCCCGGCCCCGCCGCACCCCGCCCGGCCCAGCCGCGGAAGAGCGGACGGGGTCCCGGGCCGCCCGCTCCGGTCCCGGCGGCGATGGCGGCTCCGCGCCCGTGCCCACCTGCGGCCGCGGCGGCGGCTGCGGCTCCGCTGCTCCCGCGGCTCCCGGCGGCTCCCGGCGCTCGGCTCCGCCGCCGCTCTGCCCCCGCCGCGCCCCGGCCCGGCCCGCGCGGCCCCGCCCCTCCACGGCTCCGCCCCCGCCTGTCCCCGCCAGCACCGGGAACGGCACCGGCTAACGGGAGCGGCACCGGGCACCGGCTAACGGCACCGGGTAATGGCACTGAGTGACGGCACTGAGTGACGGCACTGGGCACCGGGCACTGGGCATCGGGCAGTGGCACTGGGTGACAGCACCGGGTAATGGCACTGAGTGACGGCACCGGGCATCGGGCATTGGGCACCGGGCAGTGGCACTGGGTGACGGCACTGGGCATCGGGCACTGGGCACCGGGCAGTGGCACTGGGTGACAGCATCGGGTAATGGCACTGAGTGACGGCACCGGGCATCGGGCACTGGGCACCGGGCAGTGGGCACTGGGCACCGGGCAGTGGCACTGGGTGACGGCACCGGGCAGCAGCACCGGTTAACGACATCGGTACCAGCACGAAGTATTGGCACACTTGGTCAAAAGTAAGTAGTGATACTACACCAGGCACCAGGCACGGGCAGAATCCAAAACAGCCTCARGCTTCAACACCAGCAGCTCTGGCAGGACGCAAACTAGCACCAGAATTTGGCAGTAAGTACCGGGGAAGCCCAAAGCAGCACCAGGCCTTGGTTTTGGAAACAGGAATGACCAAATCAGTACCGGGTGGCCACAGATGCTGCTGCCAGCCTGACACCGAGCCCTCTGTGTGGAGCATCCGTGGCTGCCCGATGCTCATTCCCACTGCAGGCCTGGGCTGACCCTTTGCAGCCATGACCACGGCCAAGATCCCCATCGCTGCTGCAGCCTCAGTCATCTGCTAGGACAAGATGCTGCATCCCCCTCTTCCAAACTGCTGCTTCCCCTGAAAGCCGTGAGGAGACCCAAGGTGCTGCCAGCTCCTCTGCAGTTGCTCAAACAGGGAAAGTTGACAGCGGCCATAAGAAAAACCATCCTGAGGATCTCTTGGCCATGAGAAAAACCATCCTGAGGATCTCTTGCACAGCAAACTCCCCTCCAGGGCAGTGGGGCACCCCGGGAGATGGGCAGCCCGGGGTGTGGCTGCAGTGCGGTGATGGGCAGAGGCGGCGGCAGGAAGCAATACTGGGTGTGCTCGTTCTGCCTCAGCGCTCGCACCGGCCGCATGGGATCTCCTGGGCTTTCACTTTCATTACCAGCTCATCTTCTGCGGCCTGAAAAYACTGCGGAGGGAAATTCAGCCAAGCACAGGTCCCTGTCCTGCTCTGGGCTGGTGGAAGCACTGGTGGCCCTTCCCCGTAGGAATCCAGGAAGGATTCCCTGTAGGAATCCAGGAAGGACCRGGCTCGTCTCTCCTTGTGCCAGCGCTGGAACAGGATCGCTCTGGGACAGCTGATGCACCAGCAATTGCAAATCACTTGGCCACTGTGTCAGAGCACAGCCCCAAGTTCCCACCTCTCTACTRCTTTTATCTCTTGCTTTTGTACTAAAGTCCTCCGGCTCCAGCTCAGGCTCCTCACTGCCTCATCCAGCCTCACATTTCCAAGAGATAAATACCTGTGGGCTGGGCAGGCASCAGCCCAGCACCTGCTCCATGCAAACGCCAGCCACGAAACGGTGCTTTCCAATTCACCAGCCTCGGGTGAATGAATGACTCCAGCCCGAACAGCCCCCAGCTCCCACCAAATGTTTTGCCGCCTGCGCTCGGGAGAATCTCACGCACAGAGGCTGACACATCGCTGCTGAGCYGCTGCCAGCAGAGCCCTGGCTGCAGTTCCCAGTGCTCCTGCAGGCTCACAGAGAGGTGAGCTGGGACCCTGGCATGCAGGGACGGGTGCCCAACGTGAAGCCAGCAGCTCCCACTCTGTCTGTATTCACTGAGACAAAAGCAAAGGAATGGAGAAGGCAGCGCAGGGCCCTGGTGCCTGCCCACCCTGCCTGGCCGGGACGCTCTCGCTCTGGGGAGTTGCATCACGAGGACACGCCGCTTTCACAATCCCTGGCCCACATAACCCATTGGCGCAGTCAGCCGGGCGGGCACTGGCTGCTCGGGCCAGAGAATCAAGGTCACACACAATGTCTGTGGCTGCTGGGGCTCTGTCCGGGCACCAGGGATCCAGGGGTATCTGGAGGATCCCAGGGACACAGCGCTCCCTGTGCCAGAGACCTGCACAGCCGCATGTGCTTGGGAGAGCTGGAAGATGTACACAACACTTCCCTCCCTTCTCCCTCCTCTTTCTGCTACGAAGGGGAGAAAAAAAAAAAAGAAAAAGGAAAAATAAATTAGTGATGGGAGAGAAAGTGGAAGTGCTCCATGCTGAGAGGGTAAATGGAATCCGATAAAGTCCAATCCAATCCAATCAATTTGTTTTCACCAGGTCCCAAGGAAAACTCGGAGCTGGCTGGTGGGGATGTTACCCAGGAGAAATTCCAGAGGAAAAGAACAGGGGAACAGCRTCTGCAGCACTGATTGATGGAAAGGCTGTCCCTGGATCTGCCCCAGCTCTGCCCCGAGCCTCCTAGCTCTGTCCCGGCTCTCTGGTCCTCAGAAAGTCTGGGAAAGCCTCTGGGAAGGTGAGCATGATCCAGGCTGAGCCGCAGCCGCACGCGTGGTCCCCTCGCATGAGCTCAGCAGGATGCCGAATGACGCTGTGCATTCCGGGGACGGAGGGAGCCGGGAGCTTTGTAATGGATTTCCGAGAAAATTGCCTCTGTGTTTGGAGCAGGAGCGCAAAGAGTGCAGGCAGAACAGCCTTCCTCTCTAAGCGGCATCTCAAGGGTCTTAATTGTTTCTCAGGAGTGGAAACATTTATTTAGGTGGCTCTGCAGAGGTCCTGACGCTTCTGGCTACTGCCCTCCGGGTACATCCTGTATGCACGGCTCCTCTGCAGCCCTCCCTGCTGCTCCTGGGATGTGCAGGGCACAGGGCTTGGTCAGGGCACAAACACCCGGGCAGGACACAGCCTTGGCTCCATCCCCTCCTGTTTACTGGGAAACAGGTCTCGGGGGGACCCCAGCCCCATCCCACCCCTGCTTTGGGTCCCCCACACTCCCAGGTCTGTGCTGAGCCACAAAACCCTGTCGTGATAATCCAGCCCAGCTAATGCAAACCAGATGGATCCCCACATTAGTCACAGATTCATGTTTTCCCACAAAGGTCCCATTGGAGAGCCAGTCCRGATGGGCCCTGCGGGGTTCCAACCCTGGTGCTGGTGCAAGAAGCAGCCTGTGGAGAGTGAGGCCAGTGGCTGAGGCAGCAGCACAGACTGTCCCAGAGCCTGACTAGCCCAGGGGYTTGGAACCATGGCCAGGGGAAGGTGGGGGCACCAGGGAAGCTCGTCACTGACACAGACTCAGCCTGATGGTGCCTGATGCTGGTAGGAGGAATGATCTACTCCAGCTAAAAATTACATTTTATCCAAGGGGGAATTTCCACAGGAAACCTCTGCTTCCAGCCACCCGGATACTGCTGGGARCAACCCAGCAAACACTTGGCCTCGGCAGCCAAGCAATGCCACTGCTTGGGCAAAGACTCTTTGTTTCCTCCATCGTTTCTCCAGCTAGGAAAGAACATCCAGTTTCTGCTGCTGGAACACCTGGGGCAGCGAGAGCCCAGCTGGCTCTGCAGAGGGCATCAGAACCTCCATCAGCTCAGGGAGCATCGCTGCACCTGAGGTGGCACATGGAGCAGCATCCACAGCCCCGCTGGGACCAAGGACACAATCATCTCATGCCCACCCCAGTGCCGGGCCTGGGGGCATCAGCACCAGGGCTGCATTTGGGCCTCACTCCCCATGCTGCTGCACATCCCCATGCATCCCTGCCCTCTCCCTGCATCCCTGCTCTCCCTTGCAGAGCTCAGGTTGCCACAGTAACCGCTCAGTCCCAGCCACAGCTCCTGCCACGAACACGCTGCCACAGGTCAGCCCAGTGCAGTGGCTGCACCAGGGCCCTTCACCCCCGTGTCGGGATGAGCTGAGCCCCCAGTGCTGCATTCTAAGCCAGGATGGGACACCCGTAGGGAAAGAGGGAGGCTGTGTCCTCCTGGAATGGCTGGGAGGTGGTGGCTCTGGAGTCGTGCTCTGCTGGAGCTCTGGGTCTGACCTCTGCCACATGTGGCAGTGGAAGCCACCACTGCTTGGCTCTGCTSTGCTGTGTATCAGTGTGAGCGTGATGCAATATTTGACTGTTGTGYTCTGAGCACTGGAAGCAGGGATTGGGGTGGCTCTTGCCTTGGGCAGCAGTGGCATGTTTTCCACAGCTCAGTGTGTGGTGCTGTGGGAAAACCCTGCCCAGCAGATCCTCGGGCAGGGGGCAGCCCAGGCCTGGGGGTCTCTGCCTCCCACCCCCCACTGCAGCACTGCTCATTCAGGCTGTGGGGATGGGGCTGGAGGTTTCTCTAATCCCTGTCTGCTGGTTTATTCCCAAGGAACTGTCACTATTGCACAGCTCAGACACCCCAGGGAGCAGGGGAACCCTACCACAGGAGCGCCTGCTCTGGGCTGCCCCCGCTCCAGGGCTGCCCTGCCAGGTGGCCGCCCATCCCCACGGGGCCGTCCTGTGCCCGTCACGCAAGTGTCCGCATCCCAAGCGGATTATCTGCATTTGGAAACCCCTAATCCGTTTGCACGCTTGGCTCAGACACCGTCCCCACTCCTCCCCACTGCGCTGTGGCCCTGGACAAGGAGCAAAGCCACCCTGTGACCTCCTTTTGCAGCCACAAACAACCCTCTGCCCCAGCAGGGCAGAAGGGGAGGGAAGCAGCTGGGGCAGAAGGAGGGGGACAGGATGTTGGCAAGCATCCCTTGGCCCAGTTGGTGGTGTTGTTGAAGGGGTTTCGCCAGCCCAGCACAGGGACCYTCCCTGGGCACTTTCTGCTGCTGCACATCTGACTCCAGGAGCTGCCAGSCTGCTGCCACCCAGAGCATCAAAAGCAGGAACCCAGAAATGGGAGCAGTGCCCCTCCTTAAGCCCATTGCTCAGGGCTGGCCCCTGGCTGAGTGGGGCAGGTTCCAAGAGGGATGCAGCCGGTGCAGAGAGAGGAGAAACCCCGGATCTGCAGGAATGTGGGATGTTCCTGACCCCAAATGGTTGTGGCAAGCCCAGGGGTTGCAGATGGGTCAGAAAATTCGTCACTCCTCTGTTATCAACCCCATCCTGCAGGTGCCAGAGGGGAGCTGGCACCTGCCAGGGCAGGAGAAAGGGGTGATTTCTCTGTGAGCTGCCCCCAAAATGCAGCACCCTGGGCTGCACGGCTGAGGCAGGCAGTGATCCAACACACTGGGGACAGGAATGGGTTTGTGGGGTCTGGGCAGAGCCCTGGGTTGGTTTGACAGTGAAATGGAGGGTCCTGGAGCAGGGCTGGTTCCCAAAACAGCAACATGGTCAGCTCATAGCCGAGCAGGGTGCTCCAGGGCACCGAGAGGACAGAGGAGGCTCCAGGGCACCTCCAGCGCCTCAAACCATCCAGCACAGCCAGTTCCACATGACCCGCATGAACAATCCCCCTAATCCTGCTCTGACAGAAAAATAATCTCTCCCTCTCGTCCTCATCAGAGCACAACCCCTGGAATGATCCTGYTCTCCATTGCAGAGGGCTGGGGTAAGGATCCACCAGCACCCTGTAGGCAGAGAATGGCTGGTGACAGTGACACTGCCCCCAGCCTTATACACCCACCCAGCCCTGCAGAGCCTGGCACCTGCTCCCCCCAGCCCAAATCACCTCCATCTAGTGCCCACCAACCCCACAAGGGCCCCACAGCAGCCCCAGACACCCCGGGCTGAGAGCAGCCAGAGCAGGGCCCCAGCACAGCCGCGTCCTCCCACGCTGGCACCGGCATTTCCTTTACACAAGCGGAGGAGACCCAGGCATTTGTCTGGGGCAGAGAAAGCAGCCCCGGGGCTGGGACACACCGATAGCCCCCTGCAGGGCCTGAGAAGGGGCAGCTGCCCACGCCTGCCGGGCAGGTGGAGGCAGCAGCGGCACTGCCTCGCACAGAGCAAACCGCAGCTGCAGCGCAGGAGCCGCGTTACGCTGACGGAGGCCCCGGTTCCCGGAGCCAGGTCAGAGCTTGCACCCCAGAGCAYGTCGTGTCAGGGCCTTTATTTCGGAGAAAGTTAAAGCCTGTAGATACAGCAATAAAATATACAAAAAAATAAAATTTTTTACAGTATTGAATGTTGCCCTGGGCTCCAGGGGTTGTGGCTGGAGGCAGCTATGGTGAGCGAGCACAGGGGCAAAGGGCCCTCCTCCCCTCTGAGCACCCCCAGGGCCAGCCATGGGCCCCCCCATCCTGCTCCTACAGCTTGGAGGGGTTTGCCCAGACCCCACAGCCATGGGGATCCTCCCCCCTGCCCTCTGGTTCCCTGCCCAGCAGCTGTGATGCAATTTGGAGGGGACAGCTCTCCCACTGCCTCCCCCACCCCTCCACTGCTCATCYGTGTCTGTGTGCCCTCTGCATGAAAAGGGCAGGAGGGCTCTGACAATTCTGGTAAATGCAGGACCACAACCATCAACCCTCCCAAAAGTCAGGAGCCCTGCCCTTCACAACACCCATGTCTCTGTCCTGCGCTGCCCTGCAGCAGGCTCCTCTCCTCACATCCACCTGCTTCCTTCAACTCTTGCCCCTTTCTACCTTAACTCCAACAGAAATGCCACACAAAGCCCCCAAAAACATTGCAGACCCCATGGCTGGCCCCACACAACCCACAGAGAAAGGAACAGGCCAGGTGCCCTGCTGTCACCAGCTCCCCAGGGTCCAACTCAGCACAGTGCTGGAAGCATGACCGTGCTCCCTGCACCAGCCTGGCCACAGGAAAGCCAGGACAGCCCCCTGTGCCTTCACCCAGCTCCCAAAATGGGCCACAGCTGCARATGTCCCCACCCCAGGGACACCAGCCATGCCAGCAGGAGCCCGGGCTGCTGGCATTGGCCAGACTGCTGTGCCCAAAGCAGGAAGCTGGGGGCAAGCACAAACAGCTCCCGACCCTCTGGGCTCCCAGCAAAGCCAGGCTGAGTCCAGCAGGGGCAGTGCCCTGTCAAGGCAGGAGCACCTAGATACATCCACCTGCAGCTCTGAGCCCTGTGCCCCAAAACTRGGGCACAGAGGGGACCCAGCYCTGCASCCTGCAAGCTCTGGGAGCAGCAGAGACAGATGCAAAACATGGCCAATCCCCTCTGCAATTCCAATTGTAGGGTCTTTGTGGGTTTGGKTGCGGGCAGTCAGGGCAGCAGCTTCCTGCAGCAGGACTGGGGCTGTGGGAGTGTTTGTAGGAACTGTGGCTGCAATCGGAGGCGAATAGGCACTTGAATGAGCAAAAATAATAAAAAACTGTTATGGAAGGAAATAGAAAAAGGTTCATCCCCCTCCCCCAGAGATGAGAGGGGCTGCTCTGTTGGGTGAGGTGAGGACCTGACCCATCCAGGGACACCCCGGCCCCAAGCTGTTCCCGAGGGCAGGCCCGGAGCAGCGGCAGCCGAGCGGGACAAATCCGGGGGAGCGCTCTGGAGATGGGAAGGCTGAGCCCAGGGAGGGCCCCGTGCGCCGGCGCAGCCCCTCACATGGGCGAGGACGCACACTCTGGGGTCAGCTCCATGTCGAAGGTCAGCGACTCTGCGGGCAGACACAGCCAGGGTTACGGGGCCCGTGTGTGGGCACGGCCAGGCYCCCCGGGGGCCCCCCCGGACTCACCGAACTGCCCGCCCGCGCTGTTCTCCGCGCCCTCGCTGCTGTTGCCGAACTGCATGAGCGAGTCCAGGGTGCGCGGGGACATGGGCAGGTCGATGGTGTTGCTGAAGGARGTGCTGTCCGAGGGAGAAAAAGCACAGAAACCTGCGGAGTCAGGGCCTGGCCCGAGCTCTCTAACAGCCCCTCTACCCGCTGAGGGGCCCCCGGGCACGGCCCCCAGAGCTCTCCAGAGGAAAGGGGCCCCGGAGGGGAAGAGCAGCGCTGTGGTTTGGGCAGCAGCCGGAGCCTGGCTCAGCCCCTGCCGTCACCCCAGGCTGGGAACCCCGCAGTACCCAAGCAAAGCTCTGATACAGGTGGAAAGAAAGAAAGGAAAGCTCTCCCTCAGGCAAAGCTGAGCACACAAACACCCCCCAGGCACTGACAGAGACCCCCAAGGAACACTCACGGAGTGACACAGATGAATTTGGTCTTCAGGTATGGAGCAGCACCTGCAAGGAGGGAGAAGCTTAGTCACCAGCCACCCCAGGACGAATCCTTCTCTCTGCTCCCCGGAGCACAGGCAGTGCCCTCCCTCTGCCCATGGGACCCCATGGCTAGTCCCACTCTGTGGCTGTGCCCTCCAGGGATGGCACAGGGTCCTGGTGCTATCCCCGGAGCCTCCCTGTGACAAAGGAGYCACAGAAAGTCAACGACTACCTGAGTCCGTGGCTTCAGAATGTTCCTGACTCTCAGAGCGGCAGTACTTTCCAAACGCCTCCTCCTTGGGGATGTCTGGGTACAGGTACACCAGCGGGGACACCAGGATGTTGGTGGCATCCATGATTTTGTAGCCCATGATGATCTCAGCAAACGACATGTTGTTCAGCTGCTGCTTGGTGTAAGGCTCCACCGACTGGATCTGCGTCTTCCCTGCACAAAGAAGGAGAGTTTTGGGATGGGACAAAGGCAGGACCACCCTCAAACACCCCCAGGGCAGCCAGACCACGGGGCAGGATTGGGACCTGACTGGGTTCAATGCCATAAAAAACTGCTCATGGGCAGCATGTGGGCACAGACACCCAGGAGGCAAAGACCAGCAAAGGGCAGCCAGGCTCAGAGGTTAATCCAGCTTGATGGACAAGGACAAAGGACAAGTGCTTATCAGGGGGTCCAAGCCCCCTTTGGAGCCTGGAATTTCGAGCCAGGCATGTAGGGCAGCGAGGGTAGAGCTCATACCACTGATGTCCTTCTCCACCCACGTGAAGGTGATGCCACCTTCCTTGCTGCTCTCACTGAAGCGCAGCAGAAAGGTTCCCGGRGGCTTGGTGCTCAGGATGGCTCGCTCCCGCTCCTTGCTGATGAACCCCATGATGTACCTGGGCAGGAGGAAGCAAGGACAACAAATGTGGGTCAGGGCACAGGAGCTGCTCCTCCAGGATGTGAGCCCTGCCAGCTCTGCTCAACAGCAGAACTCAGCCTAGTCCCTGGCATTTTATGGATTCTCAGGTGAGTTTTCACACTGAACCAGCAAAAAGTATCCCAGGAGAGCCCACCTGCACACAGACAAGGCATCCCATCCCATCAGGATGGAGCCCWTCCAAGGCCCAGCCTATCCACAGGCCCCGGGCTGGCACTCACCCTTCATTCCACAGCGCCAGGATGTATTTCTTCACCAAGTCAATGATGTTGTCCAGCCAGACCCAGAAAGAGAASCCTTTGCCAGCCATGTTCTCCTGAGGAAAAGGCAGAGAGGCTGCTAGCATAGCTYGCAGGAAGGGAACAGCCAAGGAAGGGTGCTCAGGGAAGACAGGGAATTCTACCTTGCAGAACTTGGCCCAGGTGATCTGACAGCCAGAGTAATTCACACCTGGTCCTGCCAGAAAACAGAAACATTACCGTGTAAATGGAGTTGTTCTTCCAAACACACCATTTCCAGGCAGCAACTCAAGGTTTGTGTCATTTGGGAGAAAACCAACTGAAAATTACAGCTCTCAGKCCAACCACTCTTGGATGATGAGTACAGGTGGGGAGTCACCCCAAGGGACACCAGGGATGGGCAGGACACCACGCCACGTCACCAGCACTTACCCAGCAGTTTTTCTGCCAGCGTGGTCAGCTGCTCGATGCTGAGGCCSCGTTTTGTGGTGGAGGARAACTGCCAGCTCAGCACCTCTGCCACCTGGTCCCAGGTCCCGATGGGCGGCTTGGTGAAGAAGTTCACGTTCTGCACAAGGGAAGACACAGTCCTGAGCAGGACACAGGACAGGAGCAGGGCCAGGTCCTGCCTCAGCCTCGCTCCCCGGCCTCAGTTTCCCTCTCTCAATGTGACACCCCCRTCCTGACACTTGCCCAGCTGCCTCCCCATGCCAGCCCTACCTTGGGGTTGTTGGTCAGCATGTTGTACCACAGGATGGATGCCCAGGCATTGGGCATCTGGCAGATGTTGGAGATKACCACCACAGGCAGCGAGTGGGTCTGCAAAGAGAGGATGTGACCATGGGCTGGGACAATTCCCAGGGCTCTTTTTCACCCAGACCCATGGCAGCAGAAGGCAGTGACCCAGGCCTCACCTCCAGGTCGATCTTCAGCCCCTGGTGATACACCTCTGTCTCAAAAGTGATRAGGTGCAGCTCCTCGGTGACAATCAGTGAGGCCTGGGGCAGAAGGGGACACCATGAGCACCACAAGACACCCATCCTCAGCCCAATGCATGACCACCAGGCACCCCTCTTCCTGGATGACCACCAGGCCCAGCACCCATCTTCCTGGATGACCACCAGGCTCAGCTGGGAGCTGCTCGGAGCTGGCCTGGCAGCTGCCAATGCCCCAGTCAGTGCTGGTGGAGCCCCCAACTCAAGGCAGGGCTCCTGCATCCCCTCCCAGCTCAGCTGCCCCTGTCAAGGGCCAGTCCCCCTCCCAGGACCCCCTAGACTCACGTCACAGTTGGCTCGGCCTCCATTGCCACAGCGCTGCTCCCGCAGGGTCTGCAGAGAGAGGGACAGGCTGCAGCAGCACCACAAGGACATGTGGCCACACAGGAGCAGCCCAGGAGCCCGTGGTACCCACCAGGTGCTTGAACTCTGCTGAAAGGCTGCCATTGTTCGACTCCTCCATGTTCATGACCTTGGTGTTGGTGCCCAGGATGTTAAACTTGCGGGACCTGGGAGGAGGAAAGAGTGGGGCTGACAGGGCTGTCTTGTAAATGATGTTTGGCAGGAGTAAAAGCAGAAACAGGAAAAAACAGCCAAAGCAAACAGTGCACTTACCCCCGAAGTGCTGCAACATCCCCGGAGTCCCTAAGAAAGGGGAAAGAGACACCAGGTCATGGCAGTGGCTTTCCTACCCTGATACAGACAGGCTGGTGTGTGGTGCCAGCTGCACCCCTGCAGAGTGCCATGAGCCCCACAAGCTTTACCCCCACGTGGGGGTGAACCCTCAGGACTCAGAACCACCCTGCACCCTCCCCTTCAACTGAGGGCCATGCTGGCCCTTGGTATGGAGATGGAGCCCAATCCCAGGGCAGCAGGAATCAGTCCCATCCCAGTAAACCCACCCAGTGCCACCAGGAGGGAAGCGCAGGACTCACTTGTCAATGCAGACTTTGATTTTCAGTTGATAGTTCAGCTCTGGAAACTTGACYAACAACCTGCAAGAGCCAGCAGACACAGAGCATGAACATCCTCTGCACAGAAACATTTCCTATTCCACAGGGCACATGGCACAGCTGGCAGCCAGCACTATGGACTGGCTCCTCTGGTGGCCCTGGGCACACCTTCACACTGCCAGCCCCAATACCTGTCCCCAGAACCAGGGAGGTGCTGATCCTCCCCTGAGCAYCCYGAGGAGCTCRTTTGGGCTGCTCACTGCCCACASCAGGCTCTGAACAAACACCCTCCATGCTATGCTGGGCCAGGGGCTGCCACAGGCCAAGGGGCAATGGAGGCACAGCTGGGAGAGGGCAAGGAAGCTGCAGGCAGAGGCTGGTGTCAGAGCAGCCTCCCTCCATGGAGGCTGACAGGGAACACAGCCCAGCTGAGCAGCAGGTTGCCAGGGATGCTTCCCACCCCTGCAGCGGGATTTACCAGAACCAGGCTGCCTCCAGGAACACAGCAGAGCCCCAGCCAGCCCGGCACTGAGTCATGTGGGCAGCACTCCAGCCCGCTGGGACCATCCCTCTGGGATCTATCCTGCTGGGATCCATTCCTCCCCAGCACCAGTGCCCCCCAGGTAAGCTGGGGGCTGCATCTGCCACAGAGCAATCCCGCTCTGCCCTCCCTCCCTGTACAGCTCCTGAGTTCCACCCATGGGGATGCTGACCCACCTGACTTTGGTGGTGAACTGCACCCCTGTCTTGATGACCAGGGGCCGGTCRGGGTGCATGGGCATGCAGGGCTGCCTCTCCACGACGAAAGCGCTGTAGGAACAACAAAGGAACCACAGTCAAACCTCACTGCCCACCYTCCACCCAYRGCCATGACYRRGACTGCCCACAGCTCCTGCCTCCCTCAGCACCTTTTCATCAGGTTCCTGAACAGCTCCACAATCCGCTCTTCCAGCATGGGCCGGTGCTGGACGATTGGGTCACCCTTATAGGATACTTTTTGCTGSAGTTCTTCCAACTTCTTGATCTGCTGCCGGGTCTGTAGCTGTGATTCAGCCAGAGAGGTTATCCTAGAAGAGCAGGGAGAACCAGYATTAGCTYTGRYTGCTGAGCCCACAMRGTCCAGCCTGCAGAGCCCTCCTTYTCCCATGCAAGAATTCACTCTCCAKGYCAAACCAGTCAAGAAGTCAGYGTGTYTGTGGCTCCAAGCCCAGAGCATTTTTCTAGACTATACATTACAAACAAAACCTGCACATGCCCAGGTGGCACCAGGGCCAGAAACTTTTCAGCAGCCTCAGAATCCCCCAGGCATGGAGCTGGGGACACTGGGACACAATTCCATCACCGTTCCCACCATGGTGACTCAGTCTAAGCAGTGGGTTACATTCACATGTGCAGGCATCAGAAACCATTTTGCAAGGACATTTYCAGCAACCAAGAGCTCATTTCCACAGCAGGTGCACGAGTGCCACTGCTCTGGGGACTGACACAGTCCCAGCCAGCTCTCACCAGTTCTCAAGCCTGTCCAGGCAGATATTGGGTGGGCCACCGATGCAGGCAATCTGCTGCCTCCTCTTCCAGTCTGCCAGTTCCTCATCTGCCAACATCTTCTGCACATACTCCATGGCTGACAGCAGCCCAGCCAGCTCGCTCACTATGCCCTGCCAAGGGAGAAAGCAGAACCTTCAGCACCCTGTGACTTCCCCCACAGACCCACAAGTTTCACATTCACACACAAGGAAGAAGTCACGCAGGGCTGTGCTTGCTGCACTGCTGCAGGTTCTCACCATGCAGRAACTACCAAACTCTGACCCTAAAGAAGGATCTGCACCCAGGGGAATCTGGAGGGCCAGTCACTCCGCTCACCCTGCGCATCTGGTCCAGTGCTGTCAGCATTTGCTCCAGCTGCTGCATCTTCTGCCGGGTCACTGACTGGTTGTTCCCGTTCAGGTCCTGCATGTCTGTGCAGGGGTGAGAAGCTTCAGCCACACACACTGAATGTTCCCACCTTCCCAAGTGCCACAATGATTCAACACTTCCATGGCAAAGTGCAGGCACCCTGAAAGYCCCCTACAGCCAAGCAGGAATCTGGCACAGGCACCAAGAACCTCGGTGGCTCTCCTGCACCCACAGAGGCCAATCCCTCCCCATCTCACTGCTGTGCCTGCAGCAGAGCTGGGTTCAGCTCCCTCAAGGGCAGCCTCAGTGGCATAAACAAAAGACCAGATTTCTCCAATTGCCATGCAAATGCCCTGAACCTGAGTACATTCCCGCTGGGAGTGGAGGCTGGAATACCTCTCCAGCAAGTTTCCTTGCAGGAACACACTGTGGTTTACGGATGCTAATGAGCTGTCATTACCTCCTTGACTTTTCAAAGTCTTGTAGTTAAAATCAAAATCATCCTGAAGATTCTCCACCACTTTCATCTTCTGCTCCAGATCCTGCAAGGCAAGAGATGTGGTTTCATTCAAAGCACCTAAGCACCTCGGTGGGGAAAGCAGAAGGTGCCCAGGCAGACACATACCTGCACCCTCTTCCTGACATCCTGCAGGTGCTGCTCCAGCATCTGCTGCTTCTCTGTCACCACAGCTGCTGTTGGATGTGTTGCTTGTCCCCCTTGCTGCAGAGGGGACAAGAAGGGCGTAAGGACAGGGCTGTAACCTGGGTTCTGCAGGGTCTTCACCCCATCCCTGACACACAACAGGGCAGCTGGCTGCTCACTCCAGCATCAGCTCCAGGTGGCACAGGGTCAGGGAGAAGAGAGGGCACCCAGCTCACCACACCCAGCCAGAACACCCAGGCTGCGTCCTGGCTGCTGGGAATGAGGATGGATCACTGGGATACCCAGCCACTGACCTGGGCTGCKGTGGCAGCTGTCTGGAGGAGCCGGGACTCTTCCCACAGGCAGCGAGCCACGATGCGGGCTATTTCCATTGGCTTCTCCAAATATCTGCTCTGTAAAGGGTCAAACACTCCCCAGTTAGCAGGCACAAGGCAATCCCTAGGACCTGCATATCCCTGAGGGCTGTGGATGGTGAGCTGTGCCGAGGAATCGCTTGAACTCTCCCCAGCTCTCCCACCATGCCCACCCCTGCCAAGCCAGCACTTCCCACTCACCTGCAGGAACTGCTTGATGCGGCGCAGGTTGTGCTGGTAGAGGACGTTGGACTCCTGCAGGAAGCGGCTGTACTGCTGGTCGATCTCCCCCAGCAGGTTGTGGAACACCAGCGTGGCATGAGACTCCTTGCTGGCAGCATATGCCCTGTGCATGGAAGGGAGAGCCCTGGGTGCCTGGCATGGGTTCCATGCAGGGGGCTCAGCTCATGCCCACCACCCCCTGTGCAGCTTCCAGAAATAGTGAATCATTTAGGTTGGAAAAGACCTAAGATGGAGTTCAACCTGTTCACCTAAGATGGAGTTCAACTTGTGACCAATCACCATCCTGTCACGTAGACCAGAGCACTGAGTGCCATGTCCAGTTGCACCTTGGACACCTCCAGGAATGGTGACTGAACCTCTACCAGCCACCCTAACCTGCATCACAGCAAGGGCAGTGCAGGCCTGAGTCACTTCACACCAACAAACCAAACCCTTGCTCCCAAAATGACTGGGTGATAGAAGTTGTGGGCTCAGGCTTGCAGTCCAGCCGTGTACCAGTGCACAGCAGCACCTCATGTCTGTGAACGCGTCCCACACACTCATGGGTGGGATCCAGGATCAGTGCTCTGGGGTCAGTGTTAGCCAGCTCTAGATGGGGACATCCCCCTCCCTCAGAGCTGCCTCTTCTCTTGGTCTGGGGTCAAACAGTGCACAAAGTCCCACTCCATGCAYAGTCCTGCTTCCCTCAGTGCCACACAAGCCCCAGGGAGGAAGGCCAGTCCCACCRTGCCAGGGGCCCAGGGAAAGTGAGCAAGCTCCTCCAGCCCACTTGGGCCCCTGCTGCTGGGTTTTCTGAGCAAAGTTCCCTCACTGGTGTTTCACAAGGTCTTACCAGTCCTGGCTTTCAATCCATGGTGCCAGGAACTGCCGSAGTTCCATGGGGAAGCTGTCACTGTAGAGCTGGTGGAGCTGCTCCAGGTACCGAGTGTCGAGCTGCTGTAGCTGGTTCCACTGCGCCATCCTGGCCAGAGACCTGCTGGGATGGGCACACACCCGGCTCAGAGCTGGCTCCCTCCTGCCAGGACTCAGCTGTGACTACTGCACCTCTCTGAGAAGGGCTGAGGGGGCCAGAATCAGACACAGCCAGGGCATGAGCTCAGGGCAGTCCTCCAGGACAGCTGGCATGGACAGGCAGGTCACCAGCAACAGGTAGGAAGGAGGTTTTAATTTAGTCTTGGGAGGCAGGGAAGTGACTGTGGAGCTTACAGTAACTGTGGAAGGCGGAGACTGCTGGGAAACTACAGAAACAAGGAAGGAGCAATTTTCAAGTTCATGACTCGTATCAATAGAAATCAAACTGACACTAACGAGGGGACTCCAGCTGTGCTGGAAAACGAAGGCAGAGCTCCACGTGACACCAGCAGTCACTTCCCTGCAGAAAGCGGTTTGCTCTTCCCAAATGTCCCTGTGCTGAGCGATGCAGCATCGCTGTGTGTTCTGCTCTCCCAGGGGACTCTTTCCCCATTTGTCTGGTGTGAGGAGAGAAACAGGGAACATCCTCTGTGGRCTGAGGCACAGAGAGGGGACAGATGTTGGCACCGACTTGGGAGTTAGAGAGGTTTTTAGAACTTCACAGCACTGAACAGCCCCAAAGGCAGGAGCAGCCTCCACAGGACATTAACCTTGRACCACAACCCTCTGGTGCAATCCTCAGGGAAGTTCACGTGAACCAAACCTGCTTTCAACGCAGCAATGAGTGAACACAAAAGRAGARAGACAGGGGTGTACAGGGTCCTGCAGACAACAGACTCCTTCAGCCCTGAAATCAGACCTGGCTAGTGACAGAACCTCTGCAGACCAAGGGCTGAGCTGTAGGTCATAGACCAGGGCTGCATGGGGGGCAGCACAGCAGAGCCCCACAGTGTGCTCAGCTCTCTGTGGCTGGTTCCCTCTGCCCCAGCAGCTGCAGGGCTCCAGCCCTTCCACTCAGTCCAGGAGGMTGTTCCTGCAGCATGAGTGGTGCTGCTGCTATGGGGAAAACCCAACAAATGCACAGGCCAGGCAAAAGTGAAAGCCCACCAGCCCTGCCTGGATGGTGAGCTCAGCTTCCTATTGCRCCATGCACCGGGCTGGGGGGGGCTGCACCAGCCCCTCCGGAAACAGCAGCAGCAGCAGCTGCCCCAGCCCAGCTCCTGCCACAGCAGAGCTTCCAGCTCTGAGCCGAGGAGGATAGGGTAACAGCAGGCAGTACCCAGGCAGCCCCCGCAGTGCCCGGGGCAGAGTGGCTCACGGGCAGACCGTCCCATCAGGCTGCAAAAAACAAACCAAATGCCACATCCAGATTCATGAGCCAAGCAGATGTTCCACCTGAAAGCCACAATCTCGGCATTTCAAAGCACTGCTGGAGCCACAGTGTGAGAGTACCCAAAAGCCAAGAGCAAAGCTCCCAGGCTGCCACGSGGCAGCAGCACTTGGACAGGAATCAGCCACTTCCCTCTGCCACAAACAGCTGCAGGACAAGCCAGCTTGCAGCACTGAATTCCAGCTCCTCCTGGCATCCACACAAGGCAGCACTGACATTCCTAGAGGAAAAGGTCCCTGAGACACTCCTTACTGAGGCAGGCAACAGTATCAAGGAAGTTCTGACCCTGACAGCCCTGAACACCACACAGGAATCTCTGCCTGGCCAGCCCCACCAACGGGAAGTGTCCCTTGCCTGTGTTAAAGATCTGAGGGTTGAACCTTTCCAGTTCYACCGGGCTTGCCCATCTCTGTGGTTTGCCTCTCCTCTGACTCTGGAATGGAGCCAGAGAGCAGCCAACATGGCCAGGACGAACACAACATGATGCAAGCACGAGGGTAAACATGCTGTCCAGAGCTTGGAGCAGAGCTGCTAAAAGTAGCTCAAGAGCTAAAGTTCATCTTTCTTTATCTCCCTGCAAGGGCAGAGCACAAGAGTCAGGCCCAGCTGCACAGTGTCAGCAGCAGCCTGGGATAGCTCTGCACACTCCAACCACCTCACTCAAAACGGGGCTGCCCTGGGAGCAACCCTGCAACTGCTTTCTATCTGTCTTCTCATCTCTGGGGCACACCTGGGAACACTTTTTACGTGTGCCCCCACGACAAGCAATGATCCCTAGTGCAATGTGTATAGGGGAATCACTGGAAAGGGCCTTAAAATGACCCTGGGATTCCATGTCCCCTGTAGTGACATGAGTAGGATGAAGCTTAGTCAYCRACAGCATTGCACAGACATCATCACAGTGCCATTGCCATCACAGGGTCATGACCCACCAACACTTCACAAAGCCCCCGCATCAGGCACCCCACAATAGCACCAGGCACCTCGCTGCCCCCATTTCCACACAGTCATCAACTGTGCAAAACCGCTCAACACAGCGGCCAATTGCTCCGGCAGCACAAGAGCCAGTTTGGAAAGGCCGTTAGAAGAATTTGGCTCTGCTCCTCTGGAGCGATTTCAAAGCCAGCCTTGGAGGTGGGAAACAGTGATGCAGAGATTTGCAACAGGAGGGGGGAAACAGCTCTGGGCAACCTCAGCATGAGTTCCCCTATCACACCACATGCCACAGCCGGCTGGTCCTCATCACAGCTCTCCAAATTCCATCCCARCAGAACACCCACGGCAGGAGCTGCGAGTGACACTGCCACCACCCACCCCAGAGCAGGGGACACCCAGCCCGCACCCCTCCTGTCCTCCACCACCACTGCTCCAGCAGCTCCAACAGATCCACAGGAAGCAGAAAACTGGGGCAGTCAGTCGGGGGAGTGACAGCGACCACCTTCAGGATGGAAGCAGGGTCTACTCCCCGATGTGCACAACAGGCAGAGCCAGTCCCTGCAGGTGCAAACGGGGCGGGCCCAGGACCGCCCACCCTCCCAGCTCCCCGCGCAGTGCCAGTCGCATGGCTGTGTCCCTCCGACAAGAACGCGGGGGTGTCCCATGGCCCGCGGGACAGGAGCCAGCCACACACGGGCAGCGCAGTGCCAGTAGCCCGGGGCGGGCAGGAGCCGTGGGCAGCACTGTCAGCCCCCGCAGAGCTCTCGGGCGGCTCGTCCTCCCCGCTGCTCGCTCGGCCACCACCCGTCCCATCACGCACCCACGGGGACAGTCACCAACGCAAGTCCCGGGGACAGTCACCAACGCAAGTCCCGGTGCAGGCAGCAGGCCCCGAGCTGCTGCTGCAATCCAAGAGGCGTGTGACAGCCCTGCGCTCGCAGCTCCACTGATCCCAGCCGGGGTGCCCGGGCCATCCTCTCGGCTCTCAGCCCTGGTTCTGCCACCAGCACCGAGACAAGCCGCACCAGCCCGTGCCCCGTTCCGCACCAGAACGCCGAAGCCACGGCGCCGTGTCAGCCTCGGCCCGACCCCAGCCSGACCCGACCGGGCCGCACCTCCTCTGGCCCCGCCGGTCCGGACGCTTTTCCCTCTCCGAGAAGCCGGTTCCGGGCTCTGCTCCTSCGCCGGGACGTGCTCGATGCGAACCCGGAAGACCGACCCGGGTCGCACAGACCAACCCCGCGCCGCCCCGGGGCTCGGGCCTCCAGCGACGGGGGCAGCCGGGACAGGCCCCCCCCGCGTTATCCCGCGATGCCAGCCCCGCTCCCGCCCCGGCCCCAAACCGGCCCAGGGGACAGCGGCTCCCGGCGACGAGCAGCGCCCCCGCGCCTCCCGCGCTCACCGGCGGTCCCGGCGGGCGGGGCAGCGGCTCCCGGTGACGGCGGCGATCGCGTCCGGCTGCGCCCAGGGACGGCACCTCCTGCGGCCCGGCTCCGCCCCGTCGTGACGTCACCACCGCACTGCCAATGGCGGCTCGGTGTTCCCGCGGCCCCGCCCCGGCCGGCCTCCCATAGCCAATCAGCGCGGCCACCGCGCGGCGCGTCACGGCGAGCGGCGGAGGGGGCTGCCCCCCGAGCTGTTCCCGGAAGGCGCCGCCTCCCGCCGCAGGGCCGCGCTGGGCAGAGGCGGTGCAGGGGGCCGGGGAGGCGGGCSAGTGCCGGGAACAGCCGTGCGGGAAACCCGGCTGAGTTCCGGGCAGCGCCGTGACGTCACGCGGTCGCCGCCGCCGCAGCCTCTTAAAGGGACCGCGCGTTCCGTGCGCTGCGCCGGGAGCAGCGCCCCCGCGTGGGGAAATGGGGATCGGGCCCGTGAGGCGAATGGGGATGGATCCCTGTGGGACTGTGGGGATGGGTCCCTGTGGGGCTGTGGGGATCGGCCCCGTGTGGCGATTTGGGATGGATCCCTGTGGGGCTGTGGAGATGGGTCCCTGTGGGGCTGTGGGGGATCGGTCCCTGTGGGGATGGGTCCCTATGGGGCTGTGGGGATGGGTCGGTCCCATAGGGCTGAGGGGATGGATATCTGGGGAGATGGGTCCGTGTGGGGCTGTGAGGATGGGTGCCTGTGGGGGTCGATTCCTGTGGGGCTGTGGGGATCGGTCCCTGTGGGGCTGTGGGGATCGGGCCCGTAAGGCGATTGGGGATGGATCCCTGTGGGGCTGTGTCCCTGTGGGGCTGTGGGGATGGGTCCCTGTGGGGCTGAGGGGATCGATGCCCTGTAGGGCTGTGGGATTCAATTCCTGTGAAGCTATGGGGATCGGTCCCATAGGGCTGAGGGGATGGATCCCTGTGGGGCTGAGGGGATGGATCCCTGTGGGGCTGAGGGGATAGATCCCTGTGGGGCTGTGGGGATGGATTGCTGTGGGGCTGTGGGGATGGGTCCCGGTGGGTCTGTGGGGATGGATCCCTATGGGGTCTGTGGGGATGGATCCCTGTGGGGCGATTAGGGATGGATCCCTGTGGGGCTGTGGGGATCGATGCCTCGTAGGGCTGTGAGGCTCAGGCCCCCATAGGGCTGTGGGGGTCGATTCCCCTGAAGCTGTGGGATCGGTCCCATAGGGCTATGGGGATTGGTCCCATAGGGCTGTGGGGATGGATCCCTATGGGGGTCGATTCCTGTGAAGCTGTGGGATCGGTCCCATAGGGCTGAGGGGATGGATCCCTGTGGGGCTCTGGGGTCAGCCCCACGCAGGACAGCGGGGATCGGTCCCCGTGTGGCAGCCCCTCCCCGACACCCAGTGCCATGTACAGGCCTCACACTGGTGGTTTACAAAAGAGACTTTATTGCTGCGCTGCTGCCTGGGCACAGCCAGGGTCAGGCGAGGATCACCCGGGCTTCCACCGCCCCGGCCCTGCTGCTCWGAGAAAACCCGCGTGAAAACTGCCCGTGGTCCTGCGAGAGACCCCGTGAGGGCAGGTGRCCTGCGGGCTGGAGCCCACACGGGACTGAGAGCCACCTGCCCAGCTGGCAGCCACGAGCTGGTGCCCAGTGCCTCCCCACACCTCGGGGTCACCGGTGTCTCAGGGCTGCCTGCAGCCGGCACACGGAACYGGCCGGTCACACCTTCTGTGGGGAGGGAAGCTGTGGCAGGACCCCGAGGCCGGCACGGGCTGRAGGCACTGGACAATGTGAAGGAAAATAATTCTTATAGGAAAAGCAAGTTTATATATTGGGTTATGTGAGCGGCAGCAGCCTCGTGCTGGGGGGAGCGGGATGGGGAATGCAGGGCTGGGGATTGCAGTGAGGGCTGAGTATGTGTGAGCCAAGCSGGGGCTGAGCCAGGCAGAGTCTCCAAGCCACCGTGTGCTGCCTTCGTGCTGCCTCATTCAGTGCACCGAGTGAAGCTGCAGAAAGCACAACAGGGAGGAAAGCACATGAGGCTGAGCTGTGCCAGGGTCCCTGCAGAAAGCAGATGCTCAGAAATGCTCAAGGTCCGGTGCTGGACAGGTGTCAGGCAYTCTCTGTGATGGTCTAGAGCCTCACAAGGCAGCAGCACACCCTGTATCCCTCTGGAAACARGTTGCTAGCCGTGGTGGCTGCTCCAGTGTCACCGCCTGTGTGTCCTCCCTCCCAGGGCAGCAAGTATGGACCTCACTGCCTGCTGCCACCATCTCTGTGGGTGTGGAGGGAGCAGATCCACCTTCGTGCTGCTTCCTGCCCCCAGGACTCGCCACAGACCCTGGATCTCTGGCAGCCAGATCCGTGACCTGGGCAGRGAAATGTGCAGCCTGCACTGCTCCTGCCACAGCCCCAGGGCACAGCGGGGAGGACCAGTGTCCCCCAGCTGTGTGACACCCTGCAGGCACCCATGGCAGGCCCAGCTGCAGGGTGGCTTCRTGCAAAGGTCACCTGGTCCTTGGGWGGGCAGAGAGGAGCAGCCCCACCTGGCTCACAACAGCTCAGCTTTGCCATGCTCTGCCCATCAACAGGACTGGCTCAGCTCTTCCCTCCCATGCACCAGCTGCATCCCAGTTCTTCTGGTCCCCCAAAGGAGCAGCTGGTTTGGGTGCTGGGAGTCTTCTTGCCTGGGGGSTGGCTGCACAGCCTGGCACAGGGGGCTGGGTGGTGTGGGCTGGTGGGCTACTTGCGAGAAGCTTTCTTGATACCAGGTTTTTCTTATGGAGGACTCTTGAACTTTCAGCTGTACAGCCATTGTCTTGGSATCAGCATTCTCCAGCTGGGCCAGGGCCCTGTCACTCAAMGCCCATCTTCAGGTGTGGGGCAAGAAGGTTTCAGCAGGAATGGTCTCTGAGGGTGATTTAGTAGTGTAAGAAAAACAGTTCCGTGTTCCTAAYGTTTGTGTGCTAAAACTAAAATATAAAATACACCTTGTACAAGCAGGCAGGCAGGGGATCGGCGTCGGCTCTGCAGGGTAAGAAGGATGCATTGTGTACACTTCCCTGGGGCTCCAGGGCAGGGAGAGCTCGAAATGTGAGTGATAATTTGTTCAGCCGTCGTCCACAACCCTTGYGCTCTGCAGCCTGTCCTAATCGCTGTCGCTTTTATCCACCAGTACCGCGTCGGTCTCCTCCGTGATCTCCAGCAGTGTGTGCACCTCRGGGCTCTCCCCACGCATCAGATCGGAATTTTCTCCCTCCTCTCCACCAACCTCCACCAGCTCTGTGGCTTTCACCTCCACCTCACCCTCTCTTATTTTCTTGACATGGAAAGTGAAGGGTGGCACTTTGTAGACGGCTGTCTTGGACCTGGCATAGATGGTGTGGTCAGGGGTGAAAGACTTCCTCAGTTTGTCCCGAGACGTCTTCATCTTCTCTCTCCTTTCRTTAGTCACAATTTTAGTGCCCAGCTTGTTCATCCTCTTCTCCAGGTTGTGGCGGGTTTTCTCCAAGTTATGGCGGGTCTTCTCCAGGTTCTCCTTGGTCTTTAGYTTAGTCTTTTCCATTTTCTCCTTTGAGAATGCCTTCTTAAAGTCATCCACTCTTTTCATGCCGCTCCTTTTGATGCGTTCTGCCCGTGACTCTTCAATAATCTCCTCAATCTCCACCTCCTCATCTGAGGAGAGCTGGATGTGGTCCTCTTCYGCATGGTCCTCACCCACAGGCACCTCCTCACCCTCACCTTCTTTCTCCAGCTTTTCACCCTCCTTTAGGGACTTGCTGATGCTCAGTTTAGATGGGAGCTTCACTTCATCCTGCAAGACACAGAGCGGAGCCAGTGAGACACACTCTCACACACAYACCAGCAGCCCTGGAGCCAGCCTGTCCTCCCTCCCACAGTGCCACGGGGACATCGGCCTCCACCCAGCTAAACAGACCCGGGTACCTCAGGGCTCATCCTCCCTTACTGCAGCTGATAAGTTATTGTGAAGCAGGTCTGCTTAGGACTGTCCCATACTGGGCCTCAGGCACCAGCTCTGCTCACTCTGCGCTGGCTCCAAACTCATCTGTGACCCCAGAAGTACGGGAAAGGCAGCCCRGTGCTGAAAACTGGAGCCTTTTCCCTTCCTCCTCTGCCCCTGGCACAGTCCTGCCCCCTCCAGTTTCATCTTTATCCCAGGACCTGCCTATTGCAGCCACTCACTCCTGGCCACAGGATGGTGATCCTCAGGTCTCCAGCCTGGACAGATCTGGCTGCAGCCCCGGGTGCAGTGCAGGGCACAGCCAGAGCTGGGAGTCTGGCCACAGCACCAACTAGCACATGCTGTCCTGGCCACCCCCAGTCTGCATTCAGACTTTCCCAAGGCCTCAGGATCCAGATGTGGGGCTCTGACATCTCTTGGGATGCAGCAGGCTGCCCTGTTTTTCCTATTTCTCCACTGGGGAAAAAGTTAGAGAATTTGCCCAAGTCCATATCTGGAGTTGGTGGAGACWGTGGCCCTGACTCACCCAGCCTGGTCTGCGAGGCTACACAGGTCTGCTTGGGTCAGGGCTAGATTCATTCAGCTTCTCCACAAGCCCGAGCCAGCCAAGCCTCTGATCACAGTGGCAGAGGACAAGCATGTGCCCGGGAGAGGGGCACAGCTCTGGAGTGGGATTGGTTTTCATCTGAGCAGCACATAGCATGCGTCCCTGCTGCARTGATTCACCTCTCTGTTCCCGGGACAGGCTGGAAATAGCCCATCATTGTACAGAGCGTCACAGCTGCGGGGCTGCAGCCCACGCTCAGAAATTTATTGCCCAAGCAGTTCTAATCTACAGAGCTGGGTGGGAGAGGTGGGAGCTGGCAGGGCTGGCGCTGTCAGCAATCCAGCAGCAGCCAAAGGGCAATGTGTGGAACGGGCACAGTGCACGCAGAGCTGCGGGGCTGAGGTTTGGAGAAGAGCCTGGACAGCAGGATGGCCAGGTGCCATTCTGAGCCCTGGGCAGGGAGCAACAGAATGGAGCAAGGATGGGATTCCATCCTGCACTGGCTGGAGCCAGGCCCAGGGAAATCAAGGGGCAGGCCCTGGTGTACCCTGAGTGCTTGAATTGCATGGCAAACCCTGGATCAGTGATCTGCCTGCCCCTGGCTTGGGGAGGTGCCCTGTGACCCAGGAGGGTGACTTTGCTGTGGCACCTCACAKGCTCTGCGTGTCACAGCAGCCACCACTGCTCCACCGCAGCGGTGCATGGACGAGCTGCACGGGTGCCAAGAGCCAGGACACTGGGGATGGTCATTCCATCGAGCACGGGGAGGGGTGTCCCTGGTGGAACAGAACATCCCGGTCCCTGCTCGCCGCCGGAAGGGACGGCGTGTGCGCGCATCCACACCCTGAGTGCCGTGCCACCGCGTGCCACTGCCCTGGCTGAMCAACGTCACTGCCACTCTGTGGCTCTGGCCTGAGCCCTGGGCAGAGGCAGGAGATGACACCCTCCCTGCAGATGTGGGTGCTGTGTCCAGCCCTCTGCACTGTCCCCAGCCCTGTCTTCCTTTGCGCCCCTGAAGAAGTGACACAACTCATTGAATACGTGACTCCAGCACAGCTTCACCTGGGTGAAATCCAGTGCTCTCAGCTGCTTTCTCATTTTATCCCAAGCACAGGTGCTGCTCCTTGGGCCAGCTGAAGTTCTGGAAGCACAAGGGCATGTGGAGAAACCTGTGTGAGCAGTGACAGGCCAGCACCATGGAGCACTGGGCTCAGTGAGGATAGCACGGGCTGCAGYGTCTGTGGTGAAAACACAGCCTGCTGGAGCAGAGCTTTCATTCTGGGTTTTCTTCAGAGCAGAGAGCTGTGCTGGGTGAAGCTCTTCACCCTCCASATCACAGGTCAGGCCCCAAATACTTTATGGAGATTAAAGTGAAGTGGCCAACATATGTTTTCTTCATTTGATGAGCCACTTCAGTAGAAAACAATACACAYGCTCTCCAGAGGGCCAGTTCAGTCCAGGCAAACCCACATCACGGGGAAGGCAGGGATCCTGTTCTCCACAACAACACCTGCCAGAGCAATCCCAGAAACTCCMAGGGACCCTGCCCAGCCAGCAGAACATCAGGAACTCCAGCCACTTCCTTCCCTCTGAGGCAACACAATGAGCCAGAACAAAGGCATCCCCCTCTCGCCTGGCACGGTTGTCCCTGGAAATGGTCCATATCCTGCAAACTCTGATCCTATCAGTCCCCTGTCAGCTCCAGAATATGTGTCTGCAGAAAGAAACACCACCTCGAAAACACCACGTCTGTCACATAAATAACCACCTTTCCCCATGGTACACCATTTTATCCAGCTCCTGACTGAATTTTCTGCTGTGGTGGAGTGGGYTGTGCAGCAATGCTCCCACCCAGCCTCAGCAGCATCCTGCAGCTCTTCCTTCACAGCCATGAAGCCACTGCCAGCAGCAGCTGTGGGTATGTGGGACAGTGGCAGCAATCCCWGTTGGGGTGCCTGCAGCTCCCTAATCCTGCCCTTCACCTGGAGAGCAGCATTACCTGCCTCTGTGATCCCACTGGCTGCACTCAGGCACTTCATCCTTTCTGCTCGCCCCACTCCATCCCCACAGCCCAACCCAGCCCTCGCCTCTGTCASACCCAGGGGCACAGAGGCAGCACAGCCTTTCCCATACAGCCCTTCCCATATGTGAGGATCCCAGCCTCTCCCCTTGGGACTGTTTCYGAGAGCTTTTCTCCAGCTGTTCTTGGGAAATCCTTCACGTCCCGCTCCCAGCCTSTCTTTCTCCTAAACATGGTATAATTCCTGCATTTCCCACCCTAACTCTTCCTCACTCTGATTGCTGATCTKAATAGTAGATAACCAGCTGGAGGATTTTCAGCAGCTCACCTGCATTCAGGGAGCATYCCTGTGGGCTCAAGCACAGCACAGTTGGTGTGAGAATATCCACAGCTCTGGCACATCTTAATGGGGACAAGCACATTCTGCTGAGCATCSCTTGCATGTACCTCCTCCCTACACCTAGGCACTGCCCAAAAGCCATGAAGAGTTTCCTCCCCTCTGCCCAGGGGAGGGSAAGGGGAACTGCCTGGCATGGGCAGCACATGCCTGCAGACACAGCGGTGGAGGATAATGGGATGTGACTGGAACAATCAAGAATCATCCCAGGCCCACGGGTGGCTGCTGCACAAATCCCTGCTCCAAGCAAGGCACTATGCTCTCTGCACTTCATTTCACTCATGACTCATCCAGTTGAGCCACATTTTTAACACCAGGCATTCTATTTTTACTTGGAAAACACTGATCCTGAAGTGGGTGAGTCCAAAATCCTGGGTCTTGGCATCCCTGCCTGTTGGGGTGTTCAAAGCCTGGCTCCCAATCAGCARAGGCAAAGCAGTTCTGTCCTCTCAGCTTGGATCCAGCTGGCACAAGGACAGTGGGTAAACAACATTTTTCAGAAGATTTTGGTACCAGCAGCAGCAAACTCTGGCCCTGCTCTGTGTACGGTGCAGAGCTGCACCCAGCAGCAGGACAGGGACAGGGAGTGTGTGTGTCCYTGCAGCACAAACCTCACAGGAAGAAGTGCTTTGGGAAGCTCCCTGGCACCGGCCCGGTCCATCTGTGCACTTTGTGGGCACCCAGAGGGGCCCCAGTGCCCACAGCCACCTCCCAAAGRCAGCTGGCTGCCAGCTGCTCTGTGTCCTCCTACTTCAAACAATTCCGAGCTGTGGGATCCACAGCAGCCTCTTCGCAGCTCCCCTGAGTGGGCTTTTATCTGACATTGTTTTCGAGTTCCCTGGCAGTGAGTCACCCGCAGCCCACRGCCATGGACACCCGCCCGGTTGCTACAACACACGTAAACACTTCCCCTGGCGTATAAAAGGCCAAGGAGGCACAGAGCTGAGCTGCATTCCCAGTCAGTGTGTAAGGAACAGAGTCCCAGCACTCCCAGCCGCTCCAGTCTCCAGTTGGAAGGTTTAATGGAAGGCTCTCGCATGCACATGCAAATCACATCTGCAATTCATTTCACTCCGTTATTTTTACACGACTGCAACAGCACAAACAGTGAGTTTGGTAGACATTTACAGCCATAACATGCAGAAAACAACCAGCTCACATTGCCAGGCTCCTCTGTGACCAAATTGGGTTGATCCCAAGGCTGGGTGAGCTGGAGCTCATAGCCCCTCCTGCACCTCAACCCTCCTTCTGCCCACCCCGGGCAGCACAGCCTGGCCCTGGCCTCGGGGAGGCCGGGGAAGGGATTAGGAACTCRGGCAGCAAACAGCCCTCCAGGTCAGGTCAAGCTGTGCCAGAGGAGAACAAGTTCTGCTCTCCCGTTGCCATGATAACTGCTCTGCTCTGCCAGGCCTTGGAGGAGGCTGTTCTGTGCTGACCTTCCAGCAGTGTCATGGGAAGGAGGATTCAGCTATTCCTGAGTAAGCAGCACGCCTGAGAAGCACCCTGAGCCTARCAGGGCTCGGGCTTGTGCAGATGCCCTGCACAGAGGGGGCTGTGCTTTCCTCTCCAGTGCCTTGGTAGAACAGACCTTTTCTGTGGAGACTGAAATTGCTAGATTGCTAGACTTTTTTTTTGCTAGACCACAAAAAAAGGGTTTTTTTTTTACATCTGATGCGCTCCTTGAAATGGAGAATTTTCCCCTGGCAGCTTTGCCCAGAGACCCAAATTCCTGGGCTGGGTTCACCCTTGTCTGGCTCTTGGAATAGTCCAGTCCAACCAGGTGGCCATTTGCACTGGACAGTGCTGCTGGGTGACCTCTGAAAGGCAGCTGGARCTTGGGGCATTTTCTCCAGAGGCTGCATAATGAC